GGCATTCCAGCAGGTTTTTATGAAAATATTGGTAAAGGAAAGGCGTGCAAACTCAGAAAATCATTGTATGGCTTGAAACAATCACCTAGGGCTTGGTTTGACATGTCTAGAGGGGCACTTATCCGTTTTGGGTACACACAAACCCAGTCAAATCACACCCTCTTTGTGAAGAGAGATACTCTTGTGTCAATTCTGATTGTATATGTGGATGATATAATGGCTACAGAAAATGATCTGGAGGAGATTAATGCTCTCAAAAAATTATTGCAACAAGAATTTGAGATCAAAGATCATGGTGAGCTCAAATACTTCCTGAGGATTGAAGTTGCAAGATCCAAGCATGGGATTTTCTTTTCTCAGAGAAAGTATGTTCTTGACCTACTACGGGAAACTGGGAAGTTGGGAACTAAACCAACCGAAACTCCTATTAATCCAAACCATAGAACTAATGTTGTGGATGATAAGTTGGTAAAAGATGTGGGGAGATATCAAAGAATGGTGGGCTGACTGTTGTATTTGTGTGTGGCATGACCGGATATTTCCTATGCCATCAGTGTTGTGAACCAATACATGCATGCACCTTGGAAGCTATTGAGAGAATACTTGCATACCTAAAGAAGCACCCCGACAGAGGCATTCATTTTTCAAACATGAATACTTGCATATCTCGGAAGCTATTGAGAGAATACTTGCATACCTCCTAAGCTATCTGTAAATACGCGTCGTTGAATCGCTTGATATAGCTCCGGATGGACTCCCCTTCCTTCTGGACTATACCGAGGAGGCTCTCCTCAGTTCGGGGGCACCGCTTGCTGGTGACGAAGTGCACGGTGAAGACTTGCACGAACTGGGTCCAGCTCCTTATCGACCCGGGGGCCAGGTTCCTATACCAGGTGCGGGCCACTCCCCTGAAGGTGGTAGTAAAGGCCACACACATGCAGGACTCGCTGGCCCTCGCTAGGTGCATCTGGGACTGAAAAGCATCTACATGATCACTCGGGTCAAAGGAACCATCATATTTGTCTAGCAGGGGGAGTTTGAAATCCTTGGGCATGGGGACCGCGAGGAGTTCTGATGACAGGGGGGAAGGGACTGAAAGAATAGGAGTAACCTTTACCTCGTCCGAGCTCGCTTCCTCTTTACCTCTGAACTCGGGTAGGACGCGGGTGGTAGTTCGGCGAGCTCGTCGGCGCCTCCGCTGCTGCTTGGAAGGTCCGGTGTTGGCGCTGCTCGCTTCGGTGTTGCCAAGCTCAATGGGCCCGAACTGCTGGTGGTAGTCCGCGGCTAAGGTGCCGAACTGGTTTTCCGCAAGCGGGAGCCCGAACTGAGAGCGCCAAGGTGATGCTGACTTGATAGGCCGGAAGGTCCCCGATCCGCCGGCATGCTGCGAAGCGGGGGTAGTTAGTCTCTCCCTCCTGCCAGGGGATGAGGCTTGGCTTCTGGAGGGGTTCCGAGACTGGGAGGCTTCTCCCCGGTGAAGGCGCCCGCCTTGAGGAGAGGGCTTGACTTGCTTGACAGCAGGGTGCCGAGGTGGGAGTTGTGGCTGGCTCTGAGGCAGTTGGGGGAATTGTTGTTGGTAGTGGTACTGAGAGACGTGATGTAGTACCTGCTGCTGGTAGAGTTGGTGTTGCTGAAGCTGCTGCATTTGGGCTTGCATGGCCAACATGCATTGCATCAAATCATCAAGTTGGTTCTGGCTGGTCGCCAGGGGGACAATGGTTGGTTCAACGAAGGTTGTCTCAACAGAGGGGGGAAGGGGAACATTCACAGGCGCCACTGTTCGTGGCACATTCAGGCTAGGGATTCCGTCCACCGAGAGGGGGATGGTGAACTGCCCGATGCAGACAGTGGGGGGCTGAGGGTGTTCCCCGACGGCATTCAGGTTGGCATTACGTCTATCGCTGTCGGAGGAAGTCATGAATGCTAAGTTTTCTTTCTTTAGAAAAGAGCTAGAGGTTGGGGGAGGCTTTTTGAAGCGTTCCCACAGACAGCGCCAAATGATGATGCACGATCCGATCGGTCCTAGCTGCCGGTAACCTTGCCTCTAACGGAGCAAGAGATGCCTGAAACAGGGAGGAAACAAGAGATTCCTAGGGGAGGAACCCGGTGGGAATGCTCAAGTTAGTACTCTTGAGAAGGCAAGGAGGATGAGAGATTCTGAGACCAGAAGGCGCAAGGTGTCACTTACCTTTGCTCTGGGGGAAGAGGGCCTTTTATAACCACCCTGGTGCACTCACTCCCAAGCCTCTGCCAGATCAAGTGTAACCGTCTCTGTGGGGGGCAGGCATAACCGCCACTGTCTTCTCTGTCAGGGCCATCTCTGCAATAACTGAGATGGCGGTAGCAGGTGGCCGTTGAAGTGCGATTGTCATTTGTCAAATCCCTGATCAGTCAGGCGCGCCGCCTCAGAGTACGGACTTCTTTGTCAGGTATGGTTATTCAGTCCTACGACCTGGAGCCGAAGTGCCGGGGTGGTGCACGAGGTGAAGTCTTGAGTTTGGGTAGGAGATGGGCTCGGACTGACCCGAGGTGTCGGGGTGTGACTTGGACTGCCCCGAAAGCTCGGGTTCTACCTCCTGGGAAGCGTGGGTTCCTTTTGGGGAGCTCGGGGCCTCTCCTTGGGGAGCTCGGGCCTCTTCTTGGGATTGGGCTATGTCGTTGTGCCGAGCTGATGCTCCTACCAAGTCATACCCGGTTGCTTCCATGTGTCGCACAGCCAAGGGGTCAGGCCAAATCTACCTCCATCAGTAGTCTTTGTACTCCTCTTATATTTTTATTATAAATAACAAGTGAAGAGGGCGGCCAAATTATTGCTCTCTTTCTTCTCAAGATTTCTTCTTCTCTTCTTCTCTCTTCCTTCTCTCTTCAAGAAAACACTCTTTTCTTTTATATTTTTTAAATCCAGCAGATTTCTACTCTTTTCAGTTATAAACTTCAGTTTCATTCTAGCCATAAGGTATACTTCTACAGATTTAGCCCAAATTGCATAGTTACCACTGTCATTCAGCTTAATATTGGTCATTTGAACAGACATAAAGTCTGGTAATAACAACTATAGATTGTTTTGAATCCATATCTTTCACAATAACAGATGTAAAAACCTAACGAGGGTCTTCGCTCAACTCAGAAATTATGAAATCAATCACAATTCAATTCTGAAATAATTCTAGAAAATCACAGGTTCACAAACTGAATATTAAGAAGTTTCTTGCACACCTTTACACCTGTATCTATCACTTTGCTGGGCTGATCACTTCACTCCTTCATTCGCAGTATCTACTAATCACAAGTCACTTCAGTACCTCACCTGTTTTGCTCATTCAATCACTTCTGAATTAATGTCTTCACACAGATTCATCACAGCTCCCTCTTGGAATGATCCCACTACAGGGTTTTCACTTCACACATCACTTGCACCACCAACTGTGATTGTTAGACCCATCACAGATCACTTAGTAAACTGAAAGTGAGAAAACCCTAGGCTGACCAGGAGAACTAGGGTTTAGTTAACCACAAAAGTAACTTCTAGAGCAGTTCGAAGGGAATAAGATGGAGTAGAAAGAACGAGATACCTCAATCTCCCTGCTCTGATACCATGCAACAGAGCTGTATTAGTATTCAGACCAGGAAGACAGAGTGACGAGGGAGAGAAGAGAAAGAGAGATTAGGTCAAGAGGAAAACAGCCAAACCTCTCTTAGAAGAGAAAATTAGAATCTAATCTCTCTAAAAAAGTCGGCCCAGCATATTAATATATATATTAATAGAAAATAAGTGCAACTACAATAATGCCCCTGTTTATGATAATTTTAAGACTGGAGTGCCCTTATTTTCTTTTGGTAATTACTAGATTACCCTGCCTCCCAAGAGTTAACATAAAACAGCTCTCTCAACACAAATCAACATCTCCGTCATAGATTTTGAGAAGTTTGTCCTGAGATGTTCCTTTGCCTGAAGAAGCTCTACCAATAATTATCCTGCGGAGGGCTGTAGCTCTGCCTCTCTGGCCAATGAACCCCCCCCCCCCTCCCCTATAAACCCCCAAATAGTTCTAATGATTGCTAGGCTTCATTGTAGCAACAGGAGCCTATATACATGAATCCATACTAATTTTCACACATAATAACCTGCATTCGCACTCCACCAGTCTAGGAGAAGGTTGTTATTTCCCATCCACTGTGTTGATTTATTTAATATACAACTGCTTCGTTTTTTGAGGAGATGAACAGAAATAGTGCACTCACCAATTTTTTAAACCTTCACCCTGCCTATGGGACACCATTCTTCCAAAGCTCAGTTTCGCACCTTGCCAGACCTCCCCATGATTCTGCCCACCAAACATTCTCTAAGGAGTGCTTCCCTTGACTGCATGACATCTTCCAGAGTTTTCTTCCAATAGAAATAGCAATTGCCTCCCAATGGCCATAGTTTTGCTCTCACTGCATCACTTTAGGAGGCATGGTTCCTAACTCTCACTCCCCAATTCTCCAACCAAGGCAGTCTTCTAGTTAGCCTTGGAGCTTCTGTGCTCATCACCCCACAGAGAGAGAGAGAGAGAGCTCTTGTGAGCTCCCCAACCATCCACCCACTGACCCAAGCTGTGAGTTTGGATATGAACATAAATGTCACAGCTGTGAGACTTCAGATGAAAGGATAAGCAAGATATCAGACTAGGAGACCCTATTTTATTACATAAATTTGTATAAACAGTCCAAAAACATATCGATTTCTTCCACTTGAAATCTATATAAGCAATTCTAGACTAGAAGGAGACTAGGTCCATCAATGTTCTACAAAATCTTTGGCATTGTATATCATTGCCACTCATGCACAAATTTATGAGAATAACACTAATCCGAAGGTCCCACCATTTGTGATGATCTTATGCAGCAAGAGGATTAAATGGGGACTCTTTTTAATAAAAAGATTTCTAGTATCAAATAGAGGAAAAGAAATGGAAAACTGAACTAAAAAGAACAACAGTAAAAACATGGATACACACCTTGAACATTCCTTCAAGTTTGTTTGTGAACTGGCTCCCACATTCTGTCTTCAGCTGAAATAGTTGAAAGAACTTGCTGTTAAGACCTAAAATTAGATATGTTAAAACTCACAGATAAAATAGTAAAAATAGGTAATTCATCCATTACCTTAGATATCATTGATTTCTCAGCATCAATGGAGGCACTCTTTCCCAGCAGCAACCTTTTTGCAAGATCCTTCTTATAGAATGCTTCAAATACATCTTTACCCTTTCATTATAAGGAGATTAAATATTAAACATGGCTATCAGTACCTAAAAGTATGGAAATGCAATAACTTAACTAGAAAAGCAGGCAAGATGAATCACAACTGAAGAAAAAGCATCAAATGTAGATATAGAAAAAATAGCATCCCCATGCAACAACTCTATAGCTTCCCTTCAAGTCAAAAAATATGTCCAAGTAACTTACTTGTATAAATCGGAACAAAACTAAAACTTTATCAAGTGTGCCCTCCAACTCCTCTTCAGAAGTACCCTTATTACCAGCACGAAGTTTTTCATCCAGAAACTTTGCAATCAGCTCAGCAGGGCGGTTCTATTCAAGATAACAAAATGTGATATAATTTGAGTGGAAGAAATAAATAAGAAAATCAAGAAAAAATTACTGCAAAAGCACTCTAGTAATTTATTTATCAAAAAAAAAGAACTCTAATAATTTGCCTACCACCAGCAAATAGGTCACACATGTCCTCATAAACATTGACAAACTAGACCCCATTGTGCAAAAAGAAAAGAAAAAAAAAAAAAAACATTAAAGGTTAGGACTACATCTGGGACCAACATTGGGTAACTAATGGCCTTTTTAAGCATTGATGAACTAAAAAACTACCACATCCCTGACACCTAAAAATTACAAGGCACTTCATATTATTTTTAGGCTAGTAGAAGAATTGCTTGTAAATGATTCTCTCGTGAAATCTCTACTACTGCACTCAATGTGATAAGAGAATTCCAAAGGATCCTTTGAAACCAAAAAACAGCATAAGAGATAGTCATGCCCATCTCTTCTCCAGAATAGGAGAGGCACTGAGACTTGAGAGACAGAAGGAAATATCATTGCTTTATTCTCTAGCCCAGTGAAAGTGGGGAAGTCCACTAGGGTGGAACTGTTTGCTGCTTTGAAAGGGGTACAGATTTGGGTTTGATAAATGTGGAGATTGAAGGGAATCAAAATTGGTGGTAGGATGGCTGAAGGGTCCATAGTCTATAATTTGGCACTGTAGGGATGAGATGAAGAAATTTAAATGGCTTACTAGAAGTATGAATTTGAGGATATCCTGGGCTAGGAGATCAGCTAATGCAATGGCAGATGTCTTAGCTAATCAATAGGTAAACAGGGATAATTTGTTTATATGTGTGAGAGGTAGCACCCTGTGCCTTCTGTGGGAATGCTTGTACTGCCTATATTTATTGCTCTTTAAAGTATACAGCCAAAATAATCATTCAATGCCAAGCTGCACACAAAGTATACATCCAAACAAAGTGTACACTGCTGAGCCTCCCAAGAGGCCACCCACAACTGACAACAGAGCAAAAATAAAAGACAGAAACTGATTACATTTTACAAATTAGCCCAGTCCTGGGCATCCCGTATCTAAACAAACCTTCCCCACCCCATCCTTAGCCAGAAAATCAGCCAACATGTTGGCACTCCTAGGCACCTATTAAATGAGGCATTTAAATCAGCACCTAGAGCTTGAGCCATTCTCACTAAAGGTCTGAATTTCCAAGGAATTTGGTCTTTGCATGCCCATAGAACTCGTCCTCTTGGGGGCGCAAGGACTTGTTAATGATCATTTAGAGACAGCATTTCATTTCAACACCTACCAAAGGTCCAAAGCATGACAACATATGGAGATATGCTGTTGAGAATTGACAAAATAATATTGTATGCTGCAATGATATTGCAAAAAGTCTAGGATAATCAACTAACTCATTTTCTTTCTATTAATCATTAACATTTTATTGATTATTGTAGAGAAGATGGGCCAAATGGCCCATAGGCTGTTTATCTTTTTCTATCTTTTATGTTATTTGCTGTAATGGGCCTTAATCTGAACTCTTATTCTTTCTTATGTTATGTTTTTAATTTTCTGCCCAACCAGGGGCCTCTCTGTAAATTATTAAAGTTTAACTTAATGAAATTGAATTAGGGGTGTAAAAGGAGATTATGTTTGAAAATCTCTCTCTGAACCCTAGTTGCCACCACCTTGTTCTTCCTCTTCTCTCTTCTTGAAACCTGATTTCTGCCACTTTCTTTTGATTTTCTGCAACTTTTTAAACAGTCCTTTCTTTTCAAAAGGCTGTTTTTCTTCTTGGTATCAGAGCAAGCTCAACAATTTCTTTTTTTCACCTCCTTTTTCCCGTACATAGTGTGTATGGAGAACTGAATTGGATGAATAGTTAAAGAAACCTATTTCAGCCCAGTTGTTAGTGGCTTTTGGAGAGAAGGGGACTGGTTTTGTCGTCCTCCTGACAAATTCAAGTGCGTTGCCCAAAACCCTAATTTTCTAGAGAAATCTGATTGTGGGCCCCACAGGGAGTTTGACCTGGCGCTCAATGACTAAAAGTCTTCTCATCATTCATCTTGAAGATCGATTCAAGTGGATTGGTGTTCTGTGAAGTCTACAAGGAGCGGCTGAGATTTCTTTGTTTCTCCCAGGTTCTGGGTGTGATGCAAGTAGCAGGTACGGCCGCATAAAGGTTGACTCACAACACAATTTTTCTTCTGCCTTCATTTGTTGTTATTCGAAGTTGTTAGAAGTTATTTTCGAAGTATATTAAGAAGATGAACCCTTCAAAAGTTGAAAACAAGCATGTTGCTGAATCCGAACAGGTTCCGAGAGCCTCTGTAGACTCTCTACTAGTTGTGACCACAGTCAAACTAGATGGAACTAATTATCTGGATTGGTCACAATCAGTAAAAATTCATATCTGTAGTAGAGGCAAATTATACTGTTATTATATCTGTAGTAAAAATTCATATCCCTCGGAAGATGATCTGTAGTAAAAATTCATATCCCTCGAAAGATGATCCATATATGAAAAACGGATGCAAGAAAATTATACTGTTATTGGATGGCTTGTGAACTCAATGCAACCGCGGATTAGTCAACACTATTTGTGGATGAATTCAGCAAAGCAAATTTGGGATAGTGTTGTTGAAACCTATTTCCAGAAATTAAATGTAGCCAGGGCTTACAAGCTGAGTGATGTGAAGAATTTGAAACAGGGGGAGAAACCTTTAGCTATTTATTTCTCAATATTGAAGTCTCTATGGCAAGAAATTGATTTGACAGAAGTCGTAGCCCGGGACACCACTAATGATGCTGAGACCTACAGGAAACTTGTTAAGAGAAACAGGGTGTTTGAGTTTCTAACAGGGCTGAATCCAGAGTATAACATCACAAAGCAAAATATCTTATCCAAGGATAGTGTTTCACTGTCTCAAGCCTATGCCTTGGTAAGTAGTGAACAAAGCAGGAGACCTGTCCAGGTTCAAGGGGCTAGTCTAAATGATCACTTTGCTAATATGGGAGTGAAACCCAAGGGAGTTACAGGGACTCCAAGTAACTCAGGGAAGAAAGAAGTTATTTGTAAGAAACCAAAGCACACTAAAGACAAGTGTTGGAAATTGCATCCTGGGCTTCTTCCTCTTCGGTTTCAAAAGAAGTCTGATAATATGAAGGCAGGGAGTGCCAATGTTGCTGCTGATCCAGATAGAGACAGATGCCTAACTGAAGAGATGACTGCTAGTGAGTAGTTAGCAGCTATGAAGGCAGAGTATGAGAAGTTTGGAAGGATGATCGGTCACCTAGATGGTGTGGCCTCTTCTTCCAACCCTCCAGGAAATTCAAGCTCTTCTGCATTTGCTCAATTAGGTATACGGGCTTCTGCCAATCATGCAACTATCTCAAGTAATCGTAGGATCCCTTGGATTATTCATTTTGGTGTTTCTGATCATATGACTAGCCTTTCCACTTTGTTTGTTTCTTATGATTTACTTCCTGGTCGTGACAAAATCACCCTAGCCGATGGCTCTCTTGCGCCTATCTCTGGCAAGGGAACCATCAAGGCTATAGATTCCTTGGTACTTCCTTCTGCTCTTCATGTACCCAAGCTAAATACAAATTTGTTATCTGTAAGTAGCCTAACTAAGTCCTTGAACTACTATGGAACCTTCTTTCCTTCCTACTATGTTTTTCAGGATCTGGAATCTCAAAAAGTGATTGGGAGTGGCCATGAGGCGAATGGAATATATTTGTTGGACACTCCTGGACAAAGCCATGGACAACTTGGAAAAGTTGCTTTTGGGTCTACATCTACAGAGTCCATCAGTTGAGTCATGTTATGTCATTTTCGTTTGGGTCATCTTTCTTTTTCTGCATTAAGTCATTTMYTCCCARAACTGTTTAAGGGAATTAGTTTGTCCAGTCTTCATTGTGAGTCGTGTGAGTTGTCAAAACATTGTAGAAGCAGTTAYCCTTTGAGTAATAAAAGATCTTCTTCTCCATTCCATACTGTGCACTCTGATGTGTGGGGGCCTTACCACTTACCTTCTATGGGTGGCATAGAAGTTGCCAGATCCAAAGATGGAATCCTTATCTCTTAGAGAAAGTATGTACTTGACTTGATCTCTAAAACAGGGAAGATGGGTGCTAGACCAGTTGCTACTCCTATTGATATGAGTCATAAACTCTCTGGTTTAGATGGAATATTGTTGAAAGATAAGGGAGTCTTCCAGAGGCTACTTGGAAAACTTCTCTATCTATGCATGACTCGGCCAGACATTGCATATGTTGCCAATTGCATTAGTCAATTCATGCATGCTCCTAGGGACACTCACATGGCAGCAGCAGAGCGGATTCTGTGTTATTTGAAGGGTTCCCCTGGAAAGGGAATTCTATTTGCTAAGCATGGTCATATGAAACTTGAAGCCTACACAGATGCTGAAAGGGCCAGAAATATTGATGACAGAAGATCTACCTCTAGATATTGTAGCTTGGTGGCAGGTAATATTGTCTCTTGGATAAGTAACAAACAACCAGTTGTAGCCCAATCTTAAGCCGAAGTTGAATACCGAGCTATGGCTCATGGAGTTTCTGAACTATTGTGGCTTAGATCCTTGATGGAGGAATTGGGTATTGAGCATGATAAGCTATTGATGTTATACTGTGATAATCAGGCTGCCATCAACATTGCTCACAATCCAGTGCAACATGACAGAACCAAACATATTGAAGTTGACAGACACTTCTTTCGAGAAAGAGAGACTTATGGAGAAGTGTGTCTGCCTTTCATCGCTTCTAAAGGACAATTAGCTGATTTCCTCACCAAGGGCATTCCAAAGGCTAAACTTCAGCATGATACTGGCAAGCTTGGCATGATTGACATCTATGCTCAGCTTGAGGGGGAGTGTAGAGAAGATGGGCCGAATGGCCCATAGGTTGTTTATCTTTTTTTTATCTTTTATGTTCTTTTCTGTAATGGGCCTTAATATGGGCTCTTATTCTTTCTTATGTTATGTTTTTTATT